AAAGTTTAGCAAACTATGACAAGCAACAAATGAGTACAAAGGTTGTAATTAGAACAGGTAATTGTTTGCTTTACTTCTTTATTTCCTGTTCTACATTTAAAAAAAAAATAGTTTAAGAACTTGTAAATAGTATTAATGTATATACATATATAATGTATAATAATTGAATTGTGACTGTATTTTACAAAATACTAGTCCACTAAAATCCAACCTAGACAGGTCATTTTGTAAAGATTAAAGGTCAGTTTTATATTATTGGATACAGTATCATGTTTGCACATGTGCCATATCATTGTAACTTCTGTATTGTTAGCCAGGCATGGCTGGAAGGTTAATATAATAAATATATATAAATGTTTAATTTTATGAGATTTAAGCTATTTAGACTAAACATTTGTGTTTCCATGTTATAATGTGTAGTAATTCTAGAATGAAAAAGCATAATTTAAATTTATTTCCTCATTTTTCATGGTGGTTATGAGGCCAGTCAAATTGACAGACACCAGTGTTAGAGTAGAGAAAATAACAGAAAAAAATATAAAGTTTTACTGAAAACAAACATTTGAAATGTATTTAGGAGGTTTTAGAGATTATACAAATGATATTTGAGATTTTTGAGACAAACAATAGTTCTTTAGTTGTAACATGAAAATTACTTTGTACTTGAACTGATAATGAAACAGGCTCAATATTTTCACAAACAAATCTGTAATAAAAAATCTGATTTTATGCATACACAAGACTTGTAATGTTTACTAAAAGTCTACCAAATTTTGTGAAGATACACTTACTGCATTAAAAGTTACTTTATAGTTACATAACATTTGCAAATGTGTATACAAGCTCATGTAAATTGTACCGAGCCCATCACAAAAGGGTTAAATGCATTCAGTGCTATCAACGAAGTGTTTCAAGAAGTACCTCGCAACCCACAGGAAGCCATCTTAAGCAAGTTATTTTTAAGACATAATGTATTTATTATATTATGTATGTTAATGTAAAAAAAAAATTTTTTAGGATAGTATTGTAAAGTTCTAGACTTGTTATTTGCCTTGAATTTAGTTACTTGTAGCATGGTTGTACATTTACCACTTAAGTCAGGCAAAAATATTATTTCAGTATCAAAATAAGCTAGATACATGTATAATAGAATCCATTATGCCAAAATTATTATTGCTACATAAAATACCTATGAAAAGTACATGTGTGGTTAAAAACAAACATTATTATTGACATCTTAATACTGTTTGTCAACTATGTGAATAATACAGAAAATACAAGTTATTGCCCTTACTTCTTAAATTATGCAAAAAATGTTTGAGTTGTATTCACAAATACTTTATAGATATATATATGATAACTTAATGATAGCATATGAAATGAAAGTGCAAAGTGACAAAAGGTTATTCACTCCATTGAGGTTACTTGTCACCCACTTAATGTTACTTTAACATATTTTGACTGGCACAGAAGTACTAACATAATCAGTAGCAGGTATGCAAAATTATTTTCAAGACTGTGTTTTGGAACCTCTGTTGTTTTTTATATAACTTATGATTGGCAAGATAGTCTTTGAAAGTATTATAACTGTAAGAAGTTTAAAGCAGAGTCTTAGTGGCTATTTAAAAGATAGAAGGTTCATCAATGAAAGGAAAAATTTTTCTTCTTAAAATCCTTTATTAACTGTCCAGTTTGTAAATAACAGTGTGTGAAAATGGAATGATAAGAAAATACGTGTGCATGCAGTCAGAAATTGAATATAATAATTTTGAAAACAAAATGGGTTTTATTTAGTGCTTCTTTACTTAGGAACAAAATAAAATATTTGAGAAGATTGATTGATGACCTCTGTCCAAATGAAATTATTACTTTTGTAACCATTGTAATTAAACAAATGCATTTGTGATATAAAATAAAATAATTCCCTGCATAGATTAATAATAGAATGTTTCTCTTTAGTTCAAGACTTCTTTAGTAACATTTCTGATAGTATGCACCTCATTATCAGAAAATTAACTTGTAAGATAACAGTAACTAATGTGGGATTATAGCTAAAATCACTTTGAGATGTTCATGTTAACATTATCACTGGGTTTTTATTTTTGTTAAATGTTTTACTGTGAGCCTTGTTGCATGTTTTAGATATATTTATAGCTTTTTTTTCAAATGGATGTTTTTTATTACAGTTTATATTTTGTGGATAACTATTGTATATATAGAAATCATTGTTTTTTCAGGTTTCTTTATTCTAGAAAAGAATCCCTGAATCGGTCTCTTCAGACTTCTCATATTATTGAACAAACAGCACAGCATGCTGTTGAGTTGTTTGGAACTGCTTTGCCTGTTTTAGTAACAGAGGCCTTAACATTGACTGAGAGTGAGGATTCTTTATGTTTTTTAGTGTCTTAAGAAACAGTTTAAATTACATATTTATAATTCAAAATAAAATTTACTTTGGTATCAAGAAGAAATGTAGCATAAGAGAGATGAAGCATATTAGTGATAGGATTTTTAAGCTAGTGAACAAAAGAACAATCATTGAGACTCGCATAACATAAAGTGAGGAATCAACCCATTTATATCTCAAAGTTGAGTTTGGTTAAAGATTACTTATCTGAACAATATCTTGTGTAGGGATTCTTACAAAGTTCTATCTCTGGCACTTGGAGAGTTGTTTATCCATATTTATAGATAAACAACTCTCCAAGTGCCAGCCAGGTTTATTTTCAGATACACAATAAGAAACAAAAAGACACATTTCCCTATTTTATTACTTATCTGAAGCTTGTAACTGGTAAGTTTGAAGGGGAATACCTTTTTATCCTGGTGGTACAAAATTCCAAACTGATAGGAGTGCTTTAGTAGGGGGCATATTTGTGCCAATGGTAGTGAAAGAGTTGATTTCAGCTAATAAATCAATTACACATATGTTTCATTGAAAAGTTTACACACTTTCTGCTGCAGCAGTTTTAACCCATGCACTAAGCCAATAATGTGCAGTTACTTGCATTGTTTAGTTTTATGTGGCAGTTTAATTCCAAGAACTGTTCAGCATACCTGTTAATTTCAGCAACCATCATATACTAAGACTAAAACATCTGCACAACCCTGCCATCTTGTTGCTATAATGGCAACCAAAACAAACCACTACAGAAATCTCACATCACATGACTTGAAACTTTAGTGAAACTTTTTTTTCTATCATTCACAAAAGGGCAGCACAAACATAATCATTGTACAGTGCTAAGGGGATGTTTTATTTGTACACTCACACATGGTTATAGCCCCTTTGCTGATTGACATGTTAAGCATCAGTAGCATCTGACTAATAGAAATGAATGATGCATTAACACGTCATTAGTAGCGAATGTGTTAAGGATATGCAGTTAAACTTTTGTAAGATGGGCTAATCATAGTGTCAGCTACATTCTAGAGAACTGATTTCATTTGAGAAGCACATTCTTTTAAAACAGATTTACAAGTGAAAAGTTATAAACTATTCCAAAGTAATTCTTATAAGAAAATATAAAGGTTGACATAGCAGGACATATTTGAAATTAAGTTTTGATTAGCAATTTACTCCTGCAAGTATTTTAACATTTTTATCAAAACTATAATTATTTTAACCCCTTTCTTGATGTTAGATTTTATCTCCATTTCTTTAATTTTATTGAAAAGCTAGCTCTATACATCAGTGTTCTATGATATGATATGATTTTCATAAATCCCTATTACTAATTTATATAAAAACTAAGGACACTACACACATAATATACAGATCATCACTTTAAGAAGCTTAGTCTTGTGTTTTTAGATTTTCTGTGGGTTACTTAGGATATATAGCATATCTTTAACAAAATGCATGAAGTGGAGCAAGGTATAATCTTTCAAATGTTTTGGTATGAATTTCTTAGCACTTCTGCTGTGCCTACTCTTTCTTTTATAGCATTCTCCAAATGAGTAACTAATAAGTATTTCTGTAGCAGGAACTCAAGGTATCAGCTTGGGTGGGGCATCTACTTTATGCCCTTCAAATTGACTAGACAGTAGCATCTTCTCCGAGGATTCAGGTTTCATTTTTAATTCTATCGAACCTTTGGCTGAGCAGTGATAGTGAAGTTTCATCGGTAGAGGAAATTTTGTTTTAGCAAAAAAAATATAAATTGTTAAAGCATACAGACAAATTAGCAATGTATGCTTCATTCAATTTCCTAACTAATATCTTAAGTTCCAACAACTTGTGAGCATCTGAGATGTTCTGGAGTTGTTTAGCTAGATGAAGATAATTCAACATCTCCATTATAAGAACATTAGAAAATCTTCATTTTTTGCTTTAGGTGCATATTTTTCCTGTGAAATTTCATTCAAAGCACTGTATGATTTCATAGATCCAACTCTGAACACACTCATTCCAGTCCTAAAACTAGAACCCGAGTGCTACTATTATTATCTGATCTAAAACACCTTAGGTGTGGGAAAAAAAAGGTGCAGCCAAAAATGGATTGAGTGTGTGATTTAAAGGAATGACATCAAAATTGGAGGTCAAACTGGTAGCTACACTTATAGCATTGATAAGAATTTTACAGCAAATATTGATTCATTAATTAGCTAGGCAACATTTTTTTGTTAAACTTGGGGCATGATGGTTGGTAAAACAAAAATATGCGACCTACATAACTAATGAATGAATATTTGCTCTAAAATTCTTATCAATGTTTTAAGTGTGGCTACCAGTTTGGCCACCAATCTTGATTTCATTCCTTTAAGTTGCACACTCAATCCTTTTTTGGCTGTACCTTTTTTTTTTTTTTTTTTTACACCTAAGGTGTTTTTGATTAGATATCATGACTTTTTGTCAATACACACCAACAAACTACTGCAAGTAAGGAAATTACACTTGATAGTAACCAGTCTTAGCTTTAAGCTTGCAACCCTATTATTTAGAACAGACCTATATTTTACAGAACCAACTTCCTTTATAGTAATACCATGGAAACTATATTAACAGTTTTTTTCCATTACCCGGATGCACTTGATACAACTCTATCAAGCATCATTATTTAAGCTAATTGCTTAAGCTAATATTACATGATGCTAAATGCTCTTTAATTAGGAGAAGTTTATAAAATTTAGCATATTTGTGCTTAAAAGTTGACAATGAATGATAACCAGCCACCTGCATGATTCTTTTGAAAACTTGAGCTACAAACTGCTAATCTAGTTTGCTTGGCCTAATCAATACTTATGTATCTACATGTCCTTTCACCTTATAGTTTTGCTGCTGTCTTTAATCCGAATGACAAAAATCTAAAAATGGTCAACCTTTATTCTTAGATGAAGCTATAGTAAAAATTTCACACTGATAGCTCATGTGACTTTTTGCATAGGCTTGCACAAAAGTGTTGGTCAAAATTGAGTGCTTTTTTGTTGAATAACTTTGAATTTTCTTTTAGTTCTCTGCATCAAAAGTACAGAACTTTATTTGATAGAAAAAACATACTTAACTTTCATGGATTTTTTTTTCAAATTTGGTACACTGATAGATCTTTACAACCTATAATTAGGTGCAAAATGTGGTCTAAATATAAGTCACATGCAGTCAAAATTTAAAATTTGGTATGTGAAGTAAGGGTCTTGTAGAGCATATCTACTGAAAATAATGTGATAGTTTACATTACCACAGTCCAAGCTACAGAAAGTGGAAAATTGCTAAACTATCACTCCTGTTAATAACACACAATTTGTCCTGCAGTTTGTTTTGGCTGCACCACACCTACCATGCACATGGGTCATGCCCAATATTGTAAAATATAAAGTTACTTAACATTTGACAAATGGAGAATATAAGATATTTGCACACTAATATGGCAAAATCTGCTAGTTTGGTTTACAAGTATTTATTGAAATATCATTCAAGTAGTTTAATGTTATAAGTATACTTAATGCTCATTATGTTGTGATATGCAAGCACTTTTTTGGATTGGAAGGGATCAAGACAGCTAATTTACAACCGGGTGGATTTACATTTTTATTGGGCTTTTGTATGAGTAAAAAATGAGATTTTAACAAAATTCTTGTGTTTATTATTGGAGGTTACAAGGGTAAAATGTTTTTATTGCATCATTTGTTTTACAATTTTTACATATATTTTCCCCTTATATTCATGAATAACACCTGAAGATCACTTTACTCGGGCAGACTGGAAACCATTAATGTCGAGCCCTGCTGTGTTGAGTAAAATGCAACTACAACACCAATGACACACTACATACAATAGACAGTTCACCAGTATAAAGAACCTAGTCTTCTTTTCTCAGTTTGTCCTTGTCTATGGTTACTAATGAGTGGTTAAATTCCTTAAAACCGGTGTAACTTAGTAACAAGTGGTGAATCAAATGATAGATTGGCTTCATATTTATTTTTATTGCTCAATATGTTGACATAAAAAAAAACAAGAATTTACATTTGAGATTTTTTGTATATCAAAAGCACTTTCTAAAGTAAGAAATAAAATGGTATAAACATCCTGGTACAAAAATTGATTTAGTTGGCAGTCAGCTGATATTCAAAATAATTTACTTTAAAAGTTGATATACATATTAAAAAGATGTATGGACATATTTTGAAAACATGGCTAACACTACTAGTGTTGAAATAAAAATAGCCTATATCGTGGTTTGTTTTCTTAGGATAAAAAAGTTGACTTTACATTGAGATTTTATTTGAAGCAGACATTAAAAACAAATGATATGACCAGTGCTTTTACCTTCATCAACTTAAAAATAATGCTTAATTTGAGTTTACTTTAAATGCATAAAATCACAAAGCCAAAAGGAAAAAAAATAACCATAACGTTTATTCATAGCACATGATTTGTACTCCCACAGATTTTTCTGCACTTTAACAAGTAGGATGAAGTAATCAGGCTTCACACAAGTCATATCTTCATTTTGTTAGAGTTAGTTTTTTTAAGATTGGAACTTTAAAACTTGTCTGTAAACAGTCGCTTTTTATTTATTTTTTAGCTTTTGGCACTTAAATTACTCATTTCTGGATATCTTTTATATTGATTATTTTTATGCTTTAAGATAGGTGATAATCCTACTGCACTTCATTTCCATCATTTTATTTGAACAGGAGGAACTGTTGTGAGTGTGAAAATATCGGAGTCTGGTTGGGCGTGGCTGGTTTGTGGGCGTCGTTTGTTTGTTTGGAGATATAAACAACTCTCAGGATCCCGCAGTGTGGTGAGTAGTAAAGCAAGTCTATTAAAATAGATTATAATAAAGAAAATGGAGGTAACCATATTCAAGATTTTACCAAAACTCTAGTAAGAACTTAATGCAAACAGCAGTGATGATGATGTGTGTGGTTGAATCTCTGTCTGAAAATATAAATGATGGGAAACTAGAGGATCTATGTCACCAGGCAAAAAAAAAGTATGAATATTCTTAGACTAATATTATTTGTACAAAACACCCAATAAGAAAGTAATAATATATGATTTTGGAATTGCTCTAAAATTTTTCTCCAAATTTGTGTATCAAATAGCTGTTCTAATACCAAAATTTGTTTAAATATTTTAGTAGTTTGTGCAGTAACAATAATAACGTAATTCTATCAGCTCTATTTGTACGTACATGGTCCTTTCATAAATATCATGACACTTACAATGGTATGTCAATAAATTTGGAATAAAAATGTAGTTTATACTTTAAATTTTATATTATCTAAGTTTTAACTTTAAAAAAAGAGATAATTAAAAAATGCTCAGTATTCATTTTTCTGTGTCTTGGGATATGTATAAACTCTAATTTCTCCACTTCAGGATTTTCTTAGTTTAAAAATAGATTGTTGCAACTTTCAACCAATTAAAAACACAAAATTTAAGTAATTACAAGGAAGAATCTAAAATTTGAACTTGTACCTTCTTGAGTTGCTGAGTTATCAATACATTAATCAAACCCATCAAAAAAAGTCCTTGTACCATCTCAGAACTTTTTAGATTGTTCACTAATAAAACTTACACAGCTGGTGAATATGTTTAAAACTAATAGAAAGAACAGATTCTTCTCTACGTAAAGTGGTCAGTCAATAGGAATTTCTTGGTTTGTTGTGATTATATTTGCTGCTTCAAGTGCTAATGGAATTTTTTAACCTATCTATAACTTGGAAAGCCAGATAGATTATAATAGTTTTGGACATTCTGTTCTAGTGATTAACATATTTTTTATGCTCTAAAATGCAAATTTGAAAGCTACATGATCTTGTTTTTTGGACACTCAATTTTTTGAGTCTCAATGAGGCTTATGAAAGAATAGCTTTGATTTTTACTGAAGTACAAATGAGCTGAAATAAATAGTGAGTTCTACATATTTTTACTTTTTTATGTAGATATTTTTTGTCTATCATTATAGGTTTTATAAAAAGTAACTAAAATATAAAAATTTTAAACATCTCAGCTAGGACCTAACAAAACTTCAACAAAATAAAATGTCTAAAGTTCCTTAAGCTCGAGCTAACTAACACTTGTGTCCTATTTCTCTTGCTGTTTGTATTACTAGTGCTGGTAACAGCAAATGGCTCCTGCTGTGATTTATTGTTTTGTTGAAATGATTACTGCTTCAGTGGGTACAAGGTACTGAAGGAAAACAGGCATAAAAAAGTTAATAGTTGAGTTGAAACTGTTAAGTAACTTGAAATAATAATACTATTGTTATTTGTGAATAATACTTGAGTCAGTTTAGATGAAAGAATGGTATTAATGATTTTATATTTTTCAGCTGTATGTTGATTATTTCTCTACAGACCAGAAAATAAAGTATGCTGTGTTAGTGGTAGTTAGGGTGGTTGAAATATAAAATATTTGTGAAAAGAACATTGGATATTCATTTAAGAGGTTATGCAAATGAAATATAAAAACCATATGATGAAAAGAAGTATTTTGGCATGAAAAATACCTTTTACTCAGAATGACTCATTAAAGACTTCGGAAATTTACCTACATACCTTTAGTAGAAATTCTACATTAAAACTTAATTTACAACAGACTTTTAATGGTTACTAAAAGCTTGCCAAATTTCATGAAGATACATTTTGTCAATTCAGTTATAGTATGTTTAATGTCACAGTTCTAAGGTTGGTCAGATTACCAACTTTGTCCTGAAAGAGTTAACCTGATTAGAAAACTACTAAATGCATATTCTGAACTATAGTTTAAAAAATGCTTATGTATGCGATGGCTACATTTAGTTACTGGGCACTTTTTGATGCAGATACTTGTTTGTTATCAGCAAAATTATGTATGGCATATTTTTTTTCTTTATCAATTATATCTTGTATGGGAATCTGTCAACTATAATTTTATTTTTAATTAATGTAATTTTCTTTTTATGTAATGACTATATTAAGTAATATTGGAAATTGCCTGGAAGACTTGATTTTTTCATTTATTGAGGTACTAGTATTTTATCAATCTCAACAGATCACCTTCAACTTTCTTCAGTTTTTTGTTGTTGCCATTCTGTTGTACTTATCATGGTGTAATTGAATAATCTAAATGGTAAAACAAAATCTTGATAATTCATTGACTTTTGATATGGGCTTTTGTGGTTCAAGTTTTTGTAAGAAGAAAAACATGTGGTCAGTATTTTGGCCTGATAAACTTCAACTACCTCTTGGTATGTTTGACAAAATTATGACACTTTTTAATGTTTTACACCTTCCTTCCTTTAGTATCTTTTTTTCTTGACTGGTTCTTGATTTTATAAAAGCACAAAAGTGGCAGCAGTAAAGCTTCATCGGGTTTCATGGTTTGGATTTCATCATGTTGGAGCTACATCTGTTTCTTTATTGGATAAAACATAGAGAATATCTATGTACCCATTTGGTTTTAAAAAGCATTTTTTATTAGGGAATTGTTAATTATTTAAGTCTGACCTCAGAAACTTAACTGATATATACATGACACAAAATAATGAATTTTTTCTGAAAGTCAAAATAACAGATTATAATTAAAACTCTTAGGTCAGACCTCAAAATATTTAATAAATGTATTTCAATAATAATAATTCTTGAAAAAAGACATTTATTAAAATATATTTTTTTTTGGTAAAAAGTTAATTTTCTTGTAGTTTCTGGCAGTCTATTTAGTAGATGTAAAACAAGACCAGAATTCAACTTCAGCTTTATTTGAGCAGCATCATAATCAAGGCTTGATTTTAAGGAAATTTCAAAGTTGTCCGGAAAAAAATATATATGGACCCTCAAAAAAGATCCAATTACGACAAAAGACCAAATTTCATAAATTTTGATGTTTATATCTTGTTTATTTCCAAAAGATACAGTTAATGTTTAGTTGGCAATTTTGCATCTCTATTTAACTAATTTTTGATGCCTTATTTCCTGGGAAGTTTCATTACATTGGAAAAAATAAGCACAATCCATGCTAACATTACATAGTATCTTAAGGAAACAAACAGTCAATGACCTGTAAAACTTTTAAACAGAACAGTGACTGTGGACTATCACATTCATTGTTTCCATTTTAACCATCTTGGCCTGCCCACCAAGTACAGTAAAGTACAGCCTGTAGTAAAACTAGTCTTACATTGGAAATCTTGCACATACTACTCTATCGTGATACATACACAATGCCTGAGCACTGCGCATGTATATATACGCACGCGCGTGCACACACACACACACACACACACACACACACACACACACACACACACTGCTGATAAGTATTGTCACATTCATACTCATAGTATGTATTGACCTGGAGAGAGGCAAAGCTAGCCCTATTTTATTTGTTGTTATTCTGTTTCATACTGATCAAAACTTTCATAAAATTTTGTTTGCAGTTATCATTATTATGTTCTGTTTAATTCATGGATTTTCCCTCTTTTTATCATGGTAACTAGGCCTCCTGTATTTCCTAGACTCAATTGGTCGTGTCTATCAGGTGTTAGCCTTAGTCCTATACGTGTGTAATCGAAAAGGGGTCAGTGTTTCAACTGTGATGATTAACGATGAAAGTTCTGAGTTTTATTTTTGAATTTGGTCAATTTGGTTACTACCAAAGGTTTGTTAGTAAGAAGTTAAGCCATGTTAGTTTTATTGTCATAAGCATCTATACTAGAAATTAATCTTACTAAATATTCTTGTTACTGACATTTGTTTTCATTGCGAATTCCCGCCTGTCCATATATATGAATACATACATCACATAATACAATGTGTGGTATTGTAACTAACTTGGCTGTATACATTGTATTGTGTTATCACACATAGCCATTCATGCTCAGTTGAACTCCACACAAAATTTACATGCATAAAACAGCACAGACTCAGCTTATCCCCAATAGAAAGTTTTGTGACTAAAACAGCATTATTAGCCAATCACAAAAGAAAACTTTTTTCTAACATACAAGTATAATTTTTTTTAAACAAAAATGGACCAAAAGACACTTTTGTGAGGATTAAAAGTTTTGAGGTCGCAGTTAGGAAACTTACCAATGATTTGGTTGAGGATTGGAGTCAACATTATGTGTGTAGTGTGAGCATGGATAAGTGTATAGTAGACTGCAATGCTGTTTTGAGTAAGGGTCTGTTTCAGGGCACTAGTTGTCTGTCAGACAACACGAGGGTTTAAGTTGGTCATCTGAGTAACTTTTTAGTCCTCTCAGACAACCATTAAATTCAAGCCCTGATCTTAATATGTTGACCTAAGTTTTACAAGATGAAATTAAAGGAACAAAACACTTAAAAGCATGAGTTAGAAGTATGAATGTCCTCCGTAACTCTAATAATGTTTAAAATAATTAATTATTTTCACTTGGGAAATTCTTTCAAAATATTTAGTGCCATTGGAGAGATTTGCACATTAAAAGGTGAGAGAAAAACTCCAGATAATTATAAAAGAACTTTTTATTTAAGCCAATGTTTTGCCTTTGCAGCCTTATCAGGGTTAGTGCATACAGTTACCTCTGATGAAGCTGCAAAGGTGAAATGTTGGAAAGTCTTGTTTGTTATGCATTAAAATACAAACGTTTTCAAACTACTTGATATCTGATTTAAAAAAAAATGCATAACAACTGTGATACAGCAATTCATTTTAGTGGATTATGAATATGAAGTAACAATCTACATTATGTTTATGATATTAAATAATTTGAGTATTGAGTATTATACAGATCTGTAATGCTTATACTGTTTTGATTTTCACCACACAACTTCTAATAATCAGTGAGACAGACTGAAATGCTTTCAGAGCTCACACCTACAGAACAATCAAAATGTTTGAATAACAAGTGTCTGTTTAGTATTTCTGCAAGTAATTTGTGTTGTTGACAGTTGTCTATTTACAAACACTATCTCTGTTGATTATAGCAAGTTCAAATTGTAAATGAGAATGTATTGTGATTTCTTTGAAAGGCTAGCTTGTTACCCTATTAAACTGATAAAGAGAAGTTGATGAAATGTTGCTTAAGTAATGTTTTTTTTCTTTTAATTAGATGACGTGTCATTATAGCTGTTCTTGCAAATGCGTGGGTGAAAGATCTGTGTCTGTAGATGGAAAACTTTCACAATGGCCTTTCTAAGGCATGATTTAAATTTAGTGTTAAATAAACACCTTTTGCAGTTTATTACTAACACTGTTCTAATCTGTATTGGTCTAAACTTCCAACTGAAAACTGGTCAGTAGATTTGTTTCAGTAAAATGATCACTGGACATTTTCACCCAGGTAAATGTTATAACTTTCTTGTTTTATGGATGACTTAGGCAGTCTTCATGATGAACGAAGCTGAAATTAGCAACAACTGCCTAGTTCAGAGTGACTCTTGAGGAGAAAGTCTTGGAAGACTAATCTACATAAGTAACTCGGGTGGAAAAAATAATTTTTCACATTCAGGAAGTCTTTTGAAACATTGCCTTTACACCTGAGCTACTTTTGTAAACTAGTCTGCCAAGACTTCCTCCTCGTCACTCTGAATTAGACAGTTGCTGCCCATTTCAAGTTTATTTATTTGTTGAGTAGATCTTACCTTGTATACAAAGACTTGAATTTTTACTGCTGCATATTACTACTTCTTTTTTTTTTTCATTCTTAAGCCTCTCATTATACTTAACCTTCACTTACATGTATCCTAAGGTAACCCAATGTAGGGAGTTGAATTTACCCCCAAGTGACTTGGCTCATCGAGCAGATCTGGTATGCATCTTGATGACAAGAGACTCTCATCTTCCATCAGCAATAGCTGTGTCACCAGAAGGTATTGTTCGATATTGGCCAAACATTGCACATGAAGGGTCATCGACAGAAACAGCTGCAGACCTTCAGGGCCAAGAGTGTTTCTCTCTGATCAATATACAGGTATGTAGGAGTGAGTTTAAAATAACTGCATCTGTGACGGACATTCACCATTTTGGGCGATATACCCTAGATTTCATTTGTGTTGAAATTTGTGTACTTATTAATCTTGATGAAGTCTTTAGCACATTCAGTAAGATTTCTGTCAACCATATAGCCAATGACAAAGTTCATCCACCAAGATGGTGGTTTTTCCTATTGTTTCAAGCTGTTTTGACACAGTTTTAAGTGAGCATGTGTCTCACAGAGTCATGGAAGCTAGAATTATTGTAATAAAAGTATGCCATAGTGTATCTAGAAAACAATGATTGACAAAAACCAGCTGATCAGGAAAGATTTAATTTGTATATAATAAAAATAGTTTGAATAAAAGAAAACAAATTTTTAACATTTGTGTAAGTACGTGGAAGTTTTCATTTATTTGTTTTCAGTTCTTGTTCATCAAAATATTTCATGATTAGTTATAATAACTTTGTTTCTAAATAATCTGAAATTGTGAAAAAATTATTTTCATGTAATATAATTGGTAAAATTATGTGCAATGTGAAAAAGTGAAATAATTGATTTAATTTATTAGAGTAGTGATAATAATTTTAAAATCTTGATCAAATTCACAAAACCCATCTTTTTCAAAACGTAATGTTTAAGATACTTTTTTTTATTATTTCAATGGGCTGTTGGTTTTAAAGTTTCTAGCACACACAGGTTGAAAATGGAGTAACTATTGATTTAAACAAAGAAGCATTTATAGTTTGCTTCTGAAGAAAGAAAAGCCTTTTTTTTCTTTTTTTTTCTGTGTAATAGATAATACATCCTTGCTGCTAAAGAAAGAGCATATGTATTTATATATCACTCTAAAATAATTCAAGGTTGAAATGATGTCCTCAAATTTAAAAGTGCATAGTTTTGCTGTTGGCTTGAATCACATAAAATGTGATCTTGTGTGTTGACATATTCACAAACCAAACTTCACTCTGTCTTTAAGCCAAATGTAAACTATAGAATTTATCCAAATTTAAGACCACTATTCTTTCTCTGAAGTAATTTATTGTGATGTACAGTACATTTGTCTTGTTTTACGGGAAGTATACGTAGATATAATCATAAAATATCACTACAGGAATCCAAGAGTGCTATATTATAAAGCCTGCCTCCACATTGAGTGTTGCCAAATATACAAGAATATTAATGATCAAGAAAAAGCATCTTAATCGTCTTAAAAATATAAGAATAATCTGCTTGAATTGTATGTAAATAATTAATGTGGTTTAACAAAATTTTTACCAACCTTATGAAATATTAGTTTTTCATATTAAAAAAAAAAACCTTCATATAAAATGGACAACTTGTCTGGCAGTAATTAAGCAACTGTTATTTCAATTTGTTTTTAAATTTTAGCATTTCAACATAACAGATTGTTAAAAGGAAATTAATTGTCAGTCTGGAATTTTGCTATATTATTTTATATATTTCTGGAGAAATTGTTGTTAATATATCATTGAAATTATAAAATTGGTCAAGACTTCTATCTACAACAATATCTACTATGAATATTTGTACAGTTCATTACCATTGTTTAAAGCTGCAGGCACTAAATTTTTAGCCTGAGTCATGTGATGAGAGGAAACAGAAATTCAAGTTATTATTGTATTTTATCAGTTTTTTTATTCTAAAAAGTAAAAGATAGAACAAATAACACACAAACTGCATGTATTACCTTGCAAATTTCTTAGATAAGCATTTTTAAAGCTATACTAAGTAATTTGCAACATAACTGAAATACTGGATATTCAGATTTAGTGTGAAAAAATCAAAACTGAAACTTAGTGACCTGTGCTTCTATATCCTAGCCACTAGGATGCCTTCTGGCTACAACCACATGTTCCTTGGTACTTTTGTCTCCTGATGTTACAGATGGTCAAGTAAGTAGACAACTATAAGTCATCAGTAAATGGAAAGCTACAAATATGTTTATATTCAAACATTCTTATGCCAACATTATATGTACAGCTCTTACCTATATGATAATTTAATTTTTTTATTACACTGACTCAGTCACTCATAACTTAAACTGCTTTTAATGAAGACAGCCTTTTATATGTATAATTTTTTAATGCTTTTCAAGGTCAGGTTGTGATTTAAACTAATGTAATTTACTATTAGTAAGTAATGTTCTGTTCAAACATACATGTTCTCTGAATAAAATAATTCTCATTGTATTTATAAATTGTTGTTTGTCAATTTACTATGTAATATATGAATAGATGTAGTTAAACATTATAATTCTTTAGAAGTAAAACTTAATTTAAATTGTTACACTAACCCCCGTAAAGATTAATACTCAATTTCAAGCATTTAAAGACTGTTGTAACAAATTGTTTATTTATTCCTAATTTATGGAAATATGTAACTTTGATTGTTTTACAATGTGAATTAAATTACATAAAATTCCCTGATATTGTGTTAGAACTTTTTTATATGTTTATTCCAAGTGTGTTTGTTTTTTGTCTCCTGAGTATTTGAAACATTCTAACTATATACAAGAAAGTTTCTAACATGATAAAAATACAAATTTTCAGGCCAATGATGCTGAAGTACCATCATACATAATTCTTTTGCCTTTATTATTTAGTAAACTAACATTCCTCATCACCAGTTATAGGATAAAATGGTGATTACATTAGGTAATCATGTAAAGGTTATGTTTGTTTATAGAGACAGTAAATGTGTATTGTTTAGTTCTGTATTGTAACTCGCATGTACCAATATTTAGTGTTTATCAGTAGATATTGTTTCTGTTTTAGCTTTATTATTAATTACATTATATACATTTAAAACTTGTGAAACCTGTTACACTGTTCATGCCCAAAAATATCAGTCAGCAATTAGACATTTGTCATACATTAATAGGGTGGCCAAATAAAACAGTATGAAAGACCCAACCATAACCATATATTTTAAACTCCTTAGAAAATATTATTGTAGTTGCATTCAACAAGCTGCAATGCTACAAGCAAACGTTACATCCTGTGCAACATTTCTTACTAGTTACAAGAACAACATAACTGAAAAACTAATAAGATTTAACTCCCTTGCATAATGGTATATTGAGATTTAACATATTGTAATCTTTAATCACAGTATAAAGATGGAACAAAAATAAGTTTATTTGTTTTTTAAAAATCCTGAAATTTAAAGTTCTGAAGAAAGTATTTTGTATCAGGAGTACTAGCTTTAACCATTTCTGGAATGGGGGTAGGCTGTCATTGACATGCCTTCATTCCTCCTCTTCCCCCCCTCCCCCTCCCCCCTTAAAAAACATATAACATGAAATTTTACTGTTTGAAAAAAAAACTTGTGTGAAATTTCCAAAATAGTTTCTTTTGTTGTACAATTTCATTCTTTGTTGTTGTTGATTAGAAACATCAATTTTTTTTTTATATACATTCACTTTAAACTTGATTATCATTTAGTAATATGTTTTGTATGATACTTTATTTTGCCTGTTACAGTAGTTACCACTTCTCTCCATAAATCTTACAAAACATAGTGAAAATTGACAAAGATTTATTAGTGACTTAAAGCCTGACCTGTCACAAAAGCATCAGGATAGGTAACAGTATCTTTGCTAATGATAATTCTTAGTTGAGATAAATTTATGTCTAATAAATGTAGTTTCTTTTCGATAGATAATAAATTATCTTACTTATCTACATTGATTGAATATTCAACAAATATGAATTTGAGTCATCAGAATATTTTACCATTGCTTACTGTGCTCTAAACCTGAGCTTACCTGATGTTTTGTCATAGAAGAAAATTTCTGTTGCTTTCAAACAAATGTAATTTAACCTGAAAATGTTTTCAGGAATGAAAAGAACACTTAAATAACTTTAAAAAAAAATCTCAGATAAGTGATTTGTTTCTAAGTCTTCTAGACTTCCCATTACATTCTGATATACTCTGCATGAAGTAGGCTTATTCACTCTACAATAACACAAATAGTTTATAATATGCTCTATCCAATGTAATTTAAATATTGCCTGTAGTCGATTTAGTAGTTGACTGCTGTTCAATCATCTGCTGTGAGGTCATAAAAGGGTGAGAAAACCAAGAGGCTGTACTAATAAAATTCAGAGAAAGAGAGGGGAAAAATCACATGAGAAACAAAATATTGCTAATTTTATTCTCAAGGGGTGATAGTTTCTTAGTAAATATAAATGTATACTATGGGATGGGCAGAAAAATTATGAAGAAAAAAAACGGTAAGTACCGTATTTTTCGGAATATAAGACACACCGGTGTATAAGATGCACCCTTATTTTGAAGACGAATTTTTTGGGGGAAAAAAGTTAGTCGCATTTGAAAGATTTTTATTGAACAAAAATTCAGTTTGATACTTTAAAAATTAGTATATATTG